TTTAATTTGAATTGCATAAAAAATATACAATTTAAGTTGAAAAAAATTTTTGTTTTATTATTTTGAAATGTTTTATTTATTTTAAATTGTATAAATAAAATTAACTATTAATGGGAGAGGAACTCTTTAAATGTAAGACCATATTCCAAATCAAGAGTTATCCCTTTTGTAGTCAAAGTAGAAAATACAATACCAACAACCTATTAATTCGAATGAAAAAAACTCAGTTTTTTTTAAGTAAGGTTTCTTGAGTTTTATGAATGGAAAAATATACGTTGGGAAAGCTTTCTCCCTAATGGGGTCCGACGCAATTCCATTTCGGATTAGTCGGGACTCAATATGATTATCGAATATTGAGAGATTAACATTAAAAAAATAATACAATAAAAAGCAATATGTTTACTGTTTACAACTAAATTTGATTTTTTTTAATCAAAATAGGCAAAAAAAAATGTAAATTGAAGCTTAAAAGGATATTTTTATTTTTAATAAATGACATGTAATTCATTTTATTATCCAGAATTTGACGATTTCACGTAAAAAAAAAAAAAGAAAGAAAGAAAAAAAGAAAAAAAAGTAGTATTAGGAGTTAGGTATTTCCGTCATTTTATATTTCTTGAAACAAAACGGTAAAAAACCAGTGCACAGGGTTAAATCGTAAAACGCGTAGAAGTAAAATAAATTAAAATGCATCAAAAGGCTCAAAGCTTTTCCATGGTTCTACAGTTGAAAAATTTTCCAACGGATCAACGGACAAGAATCGTCCAAAACAAGGAACCTACCCCGATGAAACGCAAAAATAGCCAATCCAGGTTTAATTTCTTCGTTTTTCTTAATGTTGTTTTAATATTAGTACTACTGCTACCGCATTACTGGTGGCTGCTAGTAAATCTTGCCGATTATTTCTAGCAAAATTTTATTTGTCGGGAATTTTCTTTTTTGGCCAAAATTTGTCTGAGATCTCATTGAGAGAAAAAAAAACAAATACCAATAGACAGAATTATTATTAAATAAATCAAGTTATTTTCTTATAAATAAATTTTGTTTTATAAATTAAATTTGAAATTTAAATATTAATATTAATATTTAAAAAATTAAATTTCTTAAAAATACTATA